CTCAAAAGCAACAGGAACAACAGAACCCAAAACAAACTGACTCTCGGCACCGAGCCATTTCTCTGTACATACGAACTGTTACCCTGTTAGGCTGGGATCATACCCAGGGCTACGTGTGCTAGGCAAACACTCCATATTCCACCAGTCACAACCCAATTTTCTAACATCTGTCATGAACTAAAATAAAACTTTGTTCCCCAATATTGTTTGCAACTAAAAGTAGCTAACTTTTGTGCATTTTTCTTAAATATCTAAATGCCAATGGGAAGAACAAACTATGCCCACAATGAAGAGCGTTTACAGTCCTTTCTTATCATGGGTATTACATCCCAGAAGGCAAAAGCACTTCTGACCACTCTCAGATCCGCCTGCCCCTGCCTCCCACCTTCTGGGACTGAAGGCATGTGCTGCCATGCCCAGAACCATTATAAACTTGCAGCACTGTGTGTGGGCCAATGTATTTCAGTTACTACACTGTGGGAAGCACCACCCAAAGACACTCCTGACAGCCCTTAAGTTCCTAGAACAGCACCCATTTTTTTTTTTTAAAACTTCAGTCTTGGCGGGCAGTGGTGGTGCATGATGCTTTTTACCACAGCTATGCGGTAACAAGGGCAAACCGGTGTCCACAGACAGGGAAACACCACCAAATCATTCATGAACACATTACTGTACTTTTATATACATTAAAGCTGTTTCAAGTAGCATGTACTAATGAAAAGGTAATATTTTTCTCAAGAAAAGTACCTGATAACACTCAGCACAGAAACTAACTTAGTACAGCTACGGGGAATGGTGATTTACTTACCAGTTGTGACACGTTATTTAAAACAAATAAGTAAGCCCAAGCGTTGAAGACATTAAAGTTCCCTTGATCGTACACGCCAATCCCTTCACATACTCTAAAAAATGGCAAAACTCAATGTTATGACTAACCAAGCAAACCCATATCTTAATATGTCTCCTTTAGAGACTTATTTTGTGTATATGAATATTCTACTGCATGCAGACGTGTGCACAATGTGTGTGCAGTGCCTTTGGAGGCCAGAAAAGGGTGCTGGCCACGCTGGCCCTAGATTTTACTGAACCCGAGTCTTCTGCAGGAGCACAGGGTGCTCTTAACCCTGAACACACACGGAAGGTATGATGGCAGCACTACTTAGATTTCTGAGACCATTTACTTCAGCAGCGCTATGGATCATCTCTTGACTCTGGTCATGGACAGAAAAACATTCTTCTAGATGTGTATGATATGATTATTCGTTCTACCCCAAAGTAATGACAAACTCAGCATCATTACACTAGAGAATCATCACTAACTCCAAAAGACAAGGCCTGATTTTGGAAAGTGTGACAGATAAACATTGATCCCAGCTCACCTTTTCCCTGTAAACTACCTAGCAGATGTGTATCTGCCGACCCAGAGCATGTCCTGTGAAGAGGCTGTTTTTTTTTTTTTAAAATATTTATTTATTTATTATGTATACAATATTCTGTCTGTGTGTATGCTGCAGGCCAGCAGAGGGCACCAGACCCCATTACAGATGGTTGTGAGCCACCATGTGGTTGCTGGGAATTGAACTCAGGACCTTTGAAAGAGCAGGCAATGCTCTTAACCTCTGAGCCATCTCTCGTCTAGATATTTGCCTGAATCGTCAGGAGAATCCTTCTCACCTGGGATGTCAATAATGATGTGTTCACCCAGATGGAATGCAACAGCTGCATTCTGGGGTGTATTCATTTCCAAAGCCCCGATACTCGCCCTGGGGTGAGGATGTCTTTGAGCCTGGAGAACCTTCATCGCGTGGTGATGAGGTAAGCCGACTTGTATGTTCAGTATGCTCTGGGTCTTCAGGCAAACATCTTTTTTGGGATAACCTCGCGTTGTTCTTCCTGTAAGACAATATAAAATTAATAGCCAAAAGTTATTTTTCCTGCTTTAAACCTAATTCTATAAGCACTCCCTTCCCCTCTTTGTCTTCCCCAAATCTGAAGAGCCTGTATCACGGCACTGCTTTCCACATTTTCTCATTCCTTACATTACTAGAGTAAATGACCTTATCTTACGTATTTGGGTCAGGGTGCCACACAAGCATGAGGACCTGAGTTCGATCCTCAGCACGGGCACAAAGCTGGGCATGTTTGTAGTCCCCGTGCTACCAATGCAGAGATAGGATCCCTGGGGCTCTCTGGTCAGCCATCCTAGCTCAATCTGTGAGCCCAGAGACCCTGTTCCAAAACCCAAGCTGAACATCCCGAGGGACCACACCTGAGGTTCATCTCTGACCCCATGTGCACAACACACAAACCTAGCTTGCCAATATACATACTTACACTAACAGAAGTTAAACAGCTGTTACTTACCAAAATGTCCCATTATGTCCGAAATATCATCTCTGATATCAGACACATCAAACATTGCTAGGAAGGAGTCGAAGAATGAGCCTTCCTCTCCTTCTTTTTTATAAGGCTTGTAAGAAAAAAAATAATGACATCCAATTGCCACAAAAAGCATTTCGATGCAGGTTATGAAATCCTACAAAGTCACACAAATATCAGACATTATTGGGCTTCGATCTAATTTTTCAAATTGCTAACTTTTCAAAGTTACTTAGAATGTCAATAACTTTGAAATATAATCCAGATTATATTCCTTTTCAACATTTTTCCCCACTTCATAACATGACAAGCAAAGTTTGCATCTCTTTTGCTTTCCCTCACTCAAGAATTTCTCAGTGCA